CCGCATGAGACCCCTGCGGCGGTAACCTCAGGAGAAAGGCATCTGGAGCCAGACACGGACGCGTGGGCGCACGAGAGTGGGACAGGACGGCGGCCTGCGGGTGGGGGCTAGGTGACGATGCCACTCTTGGACGGGGCCTTTCTGCCGCCCGCGGTCTTCATCTTGAGTCATGTTCTGGGCATCGCCGGCATCTTGTACTGGAAGAGGAGGACGAGAACAGGTACGGTTCATCCCTCCCGGGTTCACACCTCCCAACCCTTTCGCACCCTAGCATGCCGGCGGCCGCGAGCGAGAGGTCAAGGGAGCGCACGAGGGGCGATGAGTGGCTGGCACGTGGGCGGGAGGGGGCACGCGGTACCCAGATGGTTGTCGTTGCCCAGTCGTGGGGGCGCGGGTCGGACTCCGTCCTCCCGGAAGTCGCGGAGGCTTGCGGCCGTGTTCAAGACGCGGGGCTCTCGGGGGCTTCAGACATCCTGGAAGCAAGGAGCAAGAGGCTGCTGCTTTCTGGTCTCTCCCTCCGCTTACCCTCCCTGTCTCCCTTGGCTCTCTCCTCCCTTCCCTCCTCCTTTGGGGAGAAGCCACATCGCCTCCCGCCACGCGGGGGAGGGAGGAGGGGAGGGCTGGGTCCTGCCAGGCTCTTCCCAGAACCGAGAAGAAATCTCTGAATAAATGTTGCTAAATATTTCTCCTGCTGGGCTGCGGGAAAGGCTCTTGCAAGCACTTGGAAGACGAGTGAGGATCTGTTGGGATGGTCGGCCAAGGAAGGGGCCTCGTTTCAGGGTCTCGCCCAGTCCTGTACAGGGTGGCACCGTCTGTCCTGGTTCTGGGCTTTTGTCTGCCTGCTTTCTTCCTCGCCCTGCTCCCTCCAGGGCAGGGGCAGGCAATGTGTGTCACAGTGGTTTCTTACAATAAAATCTTAATGCCTCCGTGCAGACAGACAGACGCCCACAGCCGCCCGGCTAGTGGGAACTCAGTTCAGCAACACTCCCGGCTTCTGCTTCATGCTGTTACTCCTGCACCGGGCAGCTGAGTGCGTCTCTGCCTCAGCTTCTCAAAACAGTGGTTATCCAGGGGCTTCTCTCTCACGTGCGGTACAAGGTTCATTAGCAGGTATCCGGGGGCTTCTCTCTTGCGTGAGGTCTGAGGATTCATTAGCGAATCGCCCAACGCTTCGGAAACAACCAGGTGCTGGATATTGCCCTGTCTCTGCAGGACAAGGGGAACATTGCCCCCATCCCAGTCTTTGCATGTCTCCTGTTTTTTTTTTTTTTTTCCTTCTCCAGCAGGTATTGCCTTCTTCCAGCCTTTTTCAGACATCCCTCCTTGATCATTAGCCCTTCCTTCCCCTTCTCCCTTTCCCTGGACGGACATAAAACGACAGGGGCTCGGGCTAAGGGACGACAGAACAAGGAGCGATGGTCTCAAGTTGCAGCAAGGGAAGCGGAGGTTGGATATTAGGAAAAACTTTCTCACTAGGAGGGGGCTGAGGCGCTGGGATGGGTTACCTAGGCAGGTGGTGGACTCTGCATCCTTGGAGGTTTTGAAGACCTGGCTCAACAAAGCCCTGGCTGGGATGATGTAGTTGGGGCTGGCCCTGCTTTGAGAAGGGGGTTGGACTGGATGTGACCTCCTGAGTCCCTTCCAGCCCCTTAACAACTGTGAAACCCTAATTTTTTATGATTCTGTTCCTCACCCCTTTTTCAGGAGCCTGGTGCACAGAAAGGACTGCTCTCCAGGCAGTGGGGGGTCGGAGTAGGTGTCTTGGCCTAGCTTATTCCCATAGCATTAATATGTCCTAGCTGCAGGATGATCTCTGATGGACAAGCCCCCAGGCAGGACAGTCGAGGTGTCCTGGAGGACTCGGAGGAGCCAGAATGAATCCCAGGCTGCCGCAGCTGGGAAGTGGAAGTGTGATCCTTCAGTGCTTGCCCACAAGCAGCAGATACGGCATCTTTGCACCTACCCAGCTCTCCCAAGGGCTCGATAGCATCAGTTCGCTAACTTACAGTGCAGGCGGTTAACAGTGATTTACTGCAAAACTGGCTCTGGCTTGGAAAGCTGGCGTCTGAGTTCTCCCCAGGCTTGGAAATGTTTAGGTCAGGGGGTTTTGTTCGGTCAGTTATAGAGATCGGGGCTAGGTTGGGATCTGCATCAGACCTACTACCACCTCTGTATCCTAGAGGGAAGTGCCCTAGAGCTAGCCTTTGGAGGGAAAGGAGGTGGGAAAGAGACCCAGGAAATGGGTTGGGTGAGTCTTTAGGGACAATTGGGCACATGCACATGGGAGGATGCTATTATGTGTCATAACCATCCATTCAAACAGATGCTCATGATGAGAAGAGGGCGAGTCTCCTTCTTGGCAGCATAACAGGGACGCTGCCACGGCCTCGCTGCAGGCCAGGTCTGGTATCCATGCGGACAAGCCAGTTGTCCCTGTGTTTTTCAGAGTATGGACCCTTTCCCCCTTCCAGCCCCGTGCCTTTCAGCAGAGAAGAAAGGTGCATCCTCGTGGGCTGTTTGCTCCCCAGACGTCCGTGCTGGACCCTTTCGAAAGCTGATTCCCGTGTGCTTCTCGGCTTCTGGCTGGGGGTTGTGTTGCTGTGGACGCCCAGCTGAAGCATTGGTTTCACAGAGCACTGCCCGGTTCAGTGGACGTGTCCAGGGTGATCCTTCTCCATGTGGGCTGTGCATTGCATTGAAGGAGGACCGGTGTCTGGGTGAGGTTTGTTTCACCTTTCCTACGACAGTCCCCCCTCACCAAAACTGGAGCATCAGGAGGTTTGGAAGATGCAACCATCTTAAAGTGCATTTCCCAAGAAGACGCTGGCTCCGAAGGCATCAGAAGCGACCACCATTTGGGTTGGTCCTGCTCCTTAGCTTTAATCGTGTGGGGTATAAAAATGCCGCCGTACAGGGGTGTGCAGCATGACCTGCTCGGCAGAGCGAGTGGCACTTTCTGTAGTTAACCCAGTAACCCTTCCTCACTTAATCCCTTCAATGCCAAAGCTGCCGCAGACAGATTTGCTTGACAGCCTGCTCATCTCCGCACCATGTATGGATTTTATCATTTCTTCCCAGAGATACCGTCTCTTCCCTGCCTCTCACACCCTGAATAACTCAGCAACCTCTATTCTTTGGTGTCTCCCAGGAAACTTTCCCTGCTCTATAAAAACTATTGAGCTGTATGTGAGTGGAAAAAGTGAGCCCTATCTGATCAGTGTGTTCTTTCTTTGTTAGTAAATGGCCTAAATTTCCCTTTTCAGTAGAGATCATTCATTATCCGGCCCAGCTCTCTGCTTTCCAAGCATGCAGGGGGATCGGGGCATCGCCTTCTAATTTGTTTGATATAATTAAATGCTGCAGGTACTTTGCCGTTCTCTGCCATGTGCTTAATGTATGCTCCTTCCTGCTCTGGCCTCTCACCTGGTATCGCAGCTTTCCAAGCATCTCTCTCATGTTATATGTCACGGTGCTGGAGGATTTTCCATCAGAAATGCTAACGTGCATTGTTCCAGGTCGGATGTCATGTTATTTCCTCTCTGCATCCTCTTCATTAAGCTCTTTGCTTCCATGGTTGTCCATGCCATTGCTCAGGTTAGGGGCAGATGTTTCAGTTCCCACCCCCTGCTCCCTCTCATTCCCACGTGCCTAGACGATGTTAAATGCAACCTGCAAAGAAGCAAGAGAGACCTAGCCCCTTTTTTTGCTTCCTTGGCATTGCATTTATAAGGGCAAAAGTTTTCCCCAAAGTTTTCTTTTTTTTATCCTTGCTTGTTTTTTTGAAGGATTTAAGTCCTGTCTTCACAATGATGGGAAAACCCAGAGAGGTCGTGTCATTGCAGGAGCCCAGCATAGAAGCGAGCAAGGAGAAAGGGGGTTTTTAGTCCGATGGTTCAATTCAAGGAACGCCTTTATAACGCCAGCTTCCTGCATCCTGAGTGTTTTGCTATTCGAGCTGGCACCGTTGCTCCTTGGATTAAGACGTCAAGGTTAGCTGTAAACATCTTTGAAGCGGTAGCAAAGCCAGGGAAGAGCAGACTGGCTATGCCTGAGATTTCGGCGATTACAAAGCAGGAGAGAAAAAATAATCTCCCTTTTCCATTTTCCTGGCAGAGCCTCAGGTAGGGCTCCCATAGCGCCGAGGCCTTGGAAAACACAAGTTCAACCCTTCAAGTGTAAGCCCGGACTGTGTGGGAGATCTGTGTTGGCCAAGTGCCCGGTGCAAGGGGGGGACTGGGCTGGTAGCACAACTGGTAAATCCTGACAGCGTGCAGGGATCAGACAGGCTTGGGAGTCATTTCCCCCAGACAGATGGGGAGCAGACCGTGTAGGAAGCCACAGCTGGGAACAGGCAAGTTAGCTTTTGCTTCAGCCTCTGAGAACATCCCAGTGGCCTGCCTTGCCCCTTTCCTTTCCCCGTTCAGGGGAAGAAGGCCTGTGCAGCCCCCCATAGCTGTGGTGAGACTGGACTAAAGGATGCTTGCCTTCGTGCAGAGCAGTGGTGCGCAACTTTAGTTTTTAGACTCAGCGTCCCCCTTGTTAGAATCCAGCACCCCGCGGAAAATGCCAGGTCTTGGCTTTCGTGCCTCCTTTTTTTTTGACTATGGGAAAACACTAGAGCAATCTTTCTGCTGCAAGCACTCAGACCACAGCTGGTCAGGAGGTTTTGGATGCTGAATCCCTCTTTGAAATCTCTGGGTTTATCTTCTGAATAGTGTTTGCCACACCTAACAGGGCAGGAGTGGGCAAAATGCGGCTCGTGGGCTGGTTGTGGCCTGCCAGGCCATTCTATCCAGTCTGCGGGACCCCTAAAAATTTAGAAAATTAATATTTATCTGCCTGTGGCTGCCTGTCGATGGCTTGCCAAACTCAATAAGCAGCCCTCCGCCCAAAATAATTGCACGCTCCTGTAATAGGGCTAACATTGTGCAGCACCCCGCGGCACCCGTGGAAGGGTCTTAGGGCACCGTGGGGGCTGCAGCACCCAGTTGAGAATCATGGGTGTAGGGAACGTGGCTGGGTTTAGACTTATCTCCGTGTGACAGATGATTAATGTTCAGTCAGCTGGCGGTGTCTGACTAAATTGCATTGGGAAAGAGTGAAGTGGACAGGAGGCGGCCCATGCTGGACTCATTCCCCCTCATGTGCCCCCTGGACCCTCTGGAAGCTGGGGCTGTGAGCTGAGAAATGCAAGGCAAAGCAGGGTGAGGAGAGGGAAAC